GATGGCCCCGATCGACGTTGAGAGTCTGCCGTCGGAGGCGCTGGTAGAGTTGGCCGAGCTGCTCAACACCGTAGAGCAGACGTTGGCGTGGCCGCACCAGACCCAGCTCATCATAGGAAAGTTGCTGCCGAAGAAGGTGAGTTGCGACCGCGTGATCGGGTTGGCGTCGTTTCTGGGCCGATTGTGGCCGCTCATTCGCGAAGGTCGTGTTCGACAGTGGTGCCATCTTGTGGAGGCGGATTGGGATGCTGCTATCGCGGGCAACGCGTCACTCCGTGATGGGCTTCCATCGGACCCTGCAAGAGGAAGTTGCAGGGGCACTGGGGACCCCCCACGGACACGGCCTCATGGATGTGAAAGGATTCAACAACAGTATTGAATGGGATATCTTGACGGATGTGGCATTCAAATTATCGTTTCCTCCAGTCATCCTGTTTTCAGAGCTGTCACAATGTATGGCTCCAAGGGTGGTCGAACAAATTGGAGCTGTTAGCGAGCTTTTTTTTTTGGGGGGGGGGGGCAACAGGTAGTATCATTTAAGGGTTAATATCTGGAGCCCGATTTGCGAAGTGTATGACTCATTATGTGATGGCCAAAATCAGTTGTTCACACCAGCATGTTTCGCATAGGCTGTGGATAGATGATCTTTCGCAACGTGTAGCAGGTTCTAGACAAATTGTTGGATCATCTTTGTCAAAATGTTTAGCTGATACCGCTGATGAGTTGAAAAAGGTGAAGTTGCAGATTGCTCCTAAGTCTTGCGTGGTCTGCTCCCACCACGGCGACGCGAAGGAGATCGTACGACGTATGCGACGCCGCGGCTACACGCTCCAGGCTCAGCTCCAGGCTGGATTTTTAGGAGTAGACTTGGGCGGAGGACGGAGGGTGGCCAGAGAGGTGCGGGCCAAGCGGGGGCTCAAGCAGAAGAAGCTCCATGCGAAGGTGGCGCGGTTTGCCAGGGCCTCCACGCGCTACAAGGTGACGCCCAAGCTCGAGCGACTCGGCGCTCGAGCTGCAGGCACGTACGGGCAGGCCATTCACGGCGCGCATGGGCGGAAGCTCCAGCAGTGTCGTCGCGGGCTTGCAGCAGTGCGCAGTGCAGGGGGTAAAGGTATTGGTATCACGTCGCTTCTGTCGGTTCGTGCTCCAGGCCAGGATCCAGGTGCCAAATTTCCTCATGATGTTATAGCGTTGTGGTTGCAGCAATGGTTCTCTTGCCCGCGCGTCCGCCCATCGGTGTACCGAGCGTGGCCGAAGGTGCTGCAACGGTTGGAGGCTATGCCCCCGTCTCGGCGATCCAGGTGGGCAAGAGGTCCGATGCCAGCAGTCGTCCTTGCCTTGTTGGAACGCGGTTGGCACCCCGAGACCCCCGCCAAGTGGCACTTGTCAGATGAGATCGCGTGGGGACTTCCAGAAGACATGTATCATGAGCAGCAAGCACTTAATAATGTCAAGGCCTTCTTCGATGACTTCGATCAGTCAGCGGCGGTTCAGTACTGGCAGCAGGCTTCTCGACATTTCTGTGGCAGTGGGTTGCAAGATGGGGTGGGCGGCGTTTCTCTGGGATGGCTGCTCAAATATCTTGAAGTCCTCCCGCGTGGACGGAGGCTAGCGGAGGTCATGGCCCCCACCAGTGTTGGTGGCTCATGGCCGCGGGAGCGGCGTGCAGCCGCCACAGCCAAGCTGGATATCTGCCCGCTTTGTCCCCGATGTCGGAAAGATGGCGAGTCGGCCTACCACCGCAGCTGGATCTGCGAGAAGAATGTCGAAGCAGAAGCGCATCGTCGGTCAGACGAGCTGCTGCCCGCAGCCGCGGCGCAGCACGGGTGCGATAAGGCGTTCTGACTGCGCGGGCTGATTCCCCGAAGCTGGACGGAAGGCGCACCTCCTTGTGCGGCGGAGGCGTGGCTCGGCAGTGGGCAATTTCGAAATGGAGTTGACGGCGATGCAGCAGGACCAGTTTCAGTTTCACAGCCAGTCGCTCTCTTTGGTGATGCTTCGGGTGGTCCTGGCTCCAGCCCCCCCCCCCCCTCTTTCGCCGAGTTGGATGCGGTCTGGCGTTAGTTAACGGCGAGGAGGATTTGACCATCCAAGGCGTCATCATGGGCCCGCTGCCAGGGAACCAGACGGTGCACCGCGGTGAGTTGTATATGCTATGGATGGCAATTCGAGTTTCCACAGATCACCTTGTTTATATCACAGACAGTTCCTGAATCCGAGTGGTGAGTCTGCAGAATTGTGGGCACGCATTGGAGAAGAGCTGCGTCGCCGACCAGCTGAGCATATCATTGTGTTGTTCGTGGATTCTCATATGTCGGCGGCAGGGGCTGCAGCCGCGTGTGTATCAAGTTGATTGGTCTGCGGGCGCGCCATGGCTGACACTGCCGCAGGAGAGGCGGCGAGAATGGCCAGGCTGCCCCAAGCCGATCGCGCACGAGTGGCGCAAGTGGAACATCGTGCATTCCTGGTATGAATGCGGCTGCTACGGGCGGCCATCGACTCGATGGCAGCGGAGGAGGCCCTGGCAAGGGGCCAGCAGGACTGCCGCCGAGGGGATCTGAGTGAGGGAGGGTTCCCTCCTCCTCCTCCTCCTCCCCCTCCTTTGCAGCTCTGCTTGCCGCCGCCGTGCCCCGAAGCTGTCTCCATCCTGTCCAGTTCGCGCGCGTTGGGCGATTCGGGGCGTCGGCGCCGCAGGTGTAGTGGCTCTGCGTCGATCGCCGAGCGTCGGAAGTGGAGAGTGTCACCGTGCTTCAAGCTTGTGGCCTTGGGCTGTGCGTTGCGGACCCTTCCCCAGGGGGCGGAGTTGCACATCGCTGGGGGGTGGGCGCACGGGTCTCACAAGCTAAGGTATCATCAGGGCGTCAATGTATGTGTGGCATGTTTGCAGATCAGCAGTTGCTTGGGTTGGGGAAGCCATGTGTGTATAAGACCACCCCGACCCGAGCTGGCTATTTGTCCAGAATTAATGATTCATTGTGGCCCAAGGCCCTCACGGCGGCCCAGAGGGCCAAGAGAGTCCAGAAAAGGGCTTCCCATTTAAGGCGTCAGAGGTTGGGCATCGTCCAGGGACTCTTACTCTTACTCTTATCCCCAGCACCACCATCATCATCATCATCATCACCATCATCAGCATCATCATCATCATCACCCTCTTCAGCACGCCCCTCACACGCTTCGTGGCCCCATAGGGAGCTCCACCGAAGGTCCCCATGCTACCGTCCGCGTGCGTCCCGCACATTCAAAACAGCGTTTCGTGGCCCCGCAGGGAGCTCCACCGCAGCCCCCAGTGGGACCGTCAGCATGCGTCCCGCACACCCAGTTTGGCATTTTCACCCGCCCACTACAGCGCTCCGTGACCCCTGAGGGAGCAGGCCCCAGTGCCACCGTCCGCATGCGTCCCGAAAACCCAACTTTGCATTTTCACCCACTCAGTACAGCGCTTCGTGGCCCCATAGGGAGCTCCACCAATCCACCAAAGCCCCAGTGGGACCGTCCGCGTGCGTCCCGAAAAACAAATTTAGCATTTTCACCCACCCAATACAGCACTTCGTGGCCTCATAGGGAGCTCCACCGAAGCCCCCAGCGCCACCGTCCGCATGCGTCCTGACAACCCGAATTTGGCATTGTCACCCACCCAGTGCAGCGTTATGTGGCCTCATAAGGGGGCTCCACCGCAGAACCCAGTGGGACCGCCTTCGTGCGTCCCACACACCCAAAGTGGCATCTTCACCCACCCAGTACAACGCTGCGTGGCCCCATAGGGAACCACCGAAGGCCCCAGTGGGAGCGCCCGCATGCGTCCCACATGCCCGTTTTGGGATTTCCACCCACCCAGTACAACGCTTCGTGGCCCCATAAAGGGGGCTCCACCGACGTCCCCAGTGCACTGCCCGCATGCGTTTCTCCCCACCCCGTACAGCGCTTCGTGGCCCCATAGGGAGCTTCACCGAAGAAGGTATTCACAATTGCCGGGCCCACAACTGCATATGGTTGGGTCCTTCGCCAGGATAATTGTTCTTTTGCTATTTGGCCCACCTGGTGTTTCTTATCCCCCGATGGCTCTTTAGGACCCTCAGGAGCACCCGAGCACTCAACGCAGGAAGTTCAAGGCCCAACGCCGAATGTGCGCTGAGATCTTTTGTGGTGCGATCTCTTATCGTATGCACCGGCTGTGCGTAGTACGAATCGTGGCTGAGCGTGTCGGCCCGAGCATTTCCCAGTCTCCCGCTCCGCGGAGCGGAGCGGCACGCCATCCGCTCGCAAGGCATGGCGTGTCGCCGGGACCGCCGCCGCGACTTGCGAAGCAAAAGTTCCCGACCGTAATGCCTACGTCCTCGAGCCTCGATCCTCAAGGCCCAAGCCCCGAGGAGGAGCAGGAACAGGAGGAGGAGGAGAAGGCGGGAGGAGGAGGAGCAGGAGGAGGAGGAGGAGGCAGAGTTGTTGTTGTTGGAGGAGGAGGAGGAGGAGGAGGAGGAGGAGGAGGTGGGAGGAGGAGGCGGGAGGAGGTGGAGGAGCAGGAGGAACAGGAGGAGCAGGAGGAGCAGGAGGAGGAGGAGGAGAAGGGACGGAGGAGGAGGAGAGGAGGAGAAGAGGAGGAGAGGAGGGAGGAGGAGGAGGAGGAGGAGGAAGGAGAGGAGCAGGAGGAGGAGAAGGAGGAGGAGGAGGAGGAGCAGGAGGAGGAGAAGGAGGAGGAGAAGGAGTTGTTGGAGGAGGAGAGGAGGAGGAGGAGGAGGAGGAGGAGGAGAGGAGGAGGACGAGGAGGAGTTGGAGGGATGAGGAGTTGGAGGACGAGGAGGAGGAGCAGCAGGAGGAGGAGGAGGAGGAGGAGGAAGAGGAGTTGGATGAGGAGGAGGAGGAGCAGGAGGAGGAGGAGGAGGAATAATAATAAGTAACAGAAGAGGAGGAGGAAGAGGAGGAGGAGGATGAGGAGGTGGAGGAGGAGGAGGAGGAAGAGGAGGAAGCCCCCCCCCTTGGCCTCCGCGCCCTCTCTGCGACTCCAGGCGAGCGGGCGAGCGCCAGGAGCCGGCTCGGCAGTGGCGCTGGACTCGGCGGGGCGCTTCGCCTACTGCCTGGGGGGGCTGGGCCTCAGCGGCCAGGCAGCGGCTGGCGGTGAATGATGGACCTTGTTTTGCACCACCACCACCACCATAAGTTGGAGGGGGGAAGGAGGTGGGGAATGAGGGGGGGGACGTAGAGGAGGCGGAGGAGGAGGAGGAGAGTAGGACCCGCTCCCCCTCCAACTTATGGTGGTGGTGGTGGAAAACGAGCCCATCAGTGAAGCAGCCCCCAAGACAGGACCGCCTACGATCCGATTCGGTGCGACTCGATTCGCCAGCCAGGCCGCGATTCCGATCCGGTTCGGTTCGGTTCGGCTCGATTCACCGGCCCAGGGCCAGCCAGAGTCGGGCGCAGCGATCCGATCTCGACTCGATTCGGGACGATTCGCTGGCGATGCGACCAGTTCCCGACATGATACGACTTAGCGATTCGATCCAGCGCAGCCCTGCCAGACCTCCTCCCAGATCTCCAACGGTATGGTTTTTGTTTGCTCAACCGGCGGTGTTTCTTGACCTTGGCGGTCGGGGGCCACTTCCTGCCAAGGGGGCCATCAGTCATGGATCGGGGAGGCGGTCCGGATCTCTGGGGCCGCGGGCTGAAGAACTCACATCGGCAAATGATAGGGCTGGCGCGGTGGACAGACCACAGCTGGGCGGTCTCGTAAGGTTTTCAGCCTCTTGAGGTTGAGGCCCTTGGGCCCCGTGGCCGCCCAAACCTGGCACCTTTGCGGCAGAAAGCCCGCAACTGTTCTCCACAGTTCCACGGATGGGGTGCAGCGACGGGGCCACGGAGGGGGTCCACGAAGGGGGGGGGCACGATGCGGGGCGCCTGCGGTGCCCCGGCGCCGTAGAGCAGCACTCGGGCTGAGAAGCTCGTCCCCGGGAGTGCGCCGAGACCTGGGGTCCAGGCTGCTGTCAGAAGAGGGCGGGGAGGGGGAGCAGGGGACCCTCCCCAGCTCCCTCCCCCTTCCTCTCACCATGAGGTCCTCCTCGCTCCTCGGAGGGGGAGAAGAGGCCCTCCCCAGCTCCATCCCCCTTCCTGTCATCATTAGGTCCTCCTCGCTCCTCTTCCCCCGCCACAGGGGCGCTGGGGAGCAGAGTTGCCCCGCCCCGTGGGGGGTCCTCTGTCCGCCGTGCCTCCGATTGACGTTTGCCTGTCACGGTGCCAGTTTGATCCAACCCCTCCCCCCAGGGGCAGCTGCCTCCTCCTCCTCCTCCTCCTCCTCCTCCTCCTCTGCCTCCGCTCCGAAGCCCAAGGGGCTGACAGCGAAAGCGAAACGGGGGGAGGACTACGACGTCGACGACGCCCTCTCCCCCGACAGGCGTTTACGTCGACGTCGACGACGACGACGACGACGACGACGACGACGACGACGACGACGACGACGACGACGACGACGACGACGACGACGACGACGACGACGACGACGACGACGACGACGACGACTGCGACGACGACGACGGCGGCGACGACGACGCCCCCGACAGGCGCTCAACGTGGCCGAGGGCCTGGCGTTGGAGCCGCTGCTGGCCGCGCCCGCCGAGGAAGAGGCGGTCCCCGCGGCGCCGGACTGGAGCGCCCTGCCGCCGATGCCCACGTCGCGCCACCTGGCGTCGGTGGCCGCCTTCCGCGGAGGGGCCGTGGCCGTAGGCGAGGGGCGGGCCCCAGAAACGCCCTGAAGGGCGGGAGGGGTGGCGGGAGGTCAAAGTTAGGTCGGGCATGTCCCTCTACAGGAGGAATATATTCAAGAATAGTTGAAACAAAAAGAGTCTGGAGATGGTGTTTTGACTATGTTTGCTGATTTTCGATCATTTGTCGCGGCAATGTTTAATGTTTCTTCCAAAATCTGCTTGTAGGAGGCAATGCCCGACTTAAGGCTAGAGTCTCGGAGGAGGAGAGGATGGATAACGTTTTCTTATTTGGCGTTTCGACGTTGGGCGGAAGGGGTGGGGGTTGGTGGGGGTGGTTTCAACAGTGCGTCCTATGGGGGGGACGCCACCTGCTTGCAACAGGCGTCAACAGCAGCCAAGATCTGCTCCATGGGGCGGGGGCGGCAGGAGGGTCCGGCGGCGGGCGACGGGGGGAAGTGAGAAGGAGAAGGCCCTCTCAGAAGGCGGCGGGGCTTCTCAGAAGCCCTCCGGCCTCCTGAGAAGCTTTTGTGTCTTGGGGGAAGGCTTCGAAGACTTCTCAGAAAGGCTGGGAGACTTCCGAGCCTTGAGAAAGCCCGCCCTTTCGCACTTTCCCACCCAGGCTCGCCGCCGAAGGGAGCCGGAGGAGGAGAAAGTACATCCCTCCGAGAAACTCAACGCAAGTTTCCCCGCGCCGCGTCGGCGCCCCCAGACCCTCAAATTTCATTGTTGATGCTGAAACACGTGACTTCAAATTCTCCGACGGCGCCCGCGCGCCGCGCCGCGCGCGCAACTGAACATTGAAATTTGGGGAGAGGGGGGGGGTCGACACAACTTGCGTCAAGTTTCGCGGGGGGTTGACAGCGGCGACAACGCCCGCGACGACGCCGACGTCAACGGCAGCGATGGCGACGAGCACTGGGCGGGCACTGGCGGGCTGGCAGGTAGAGAGGCAATCCTGCCAGCCCCCCATGGGCAAGCGGCAACTTGACCGCCGCGGCCCGCCCGCGCGCCTTTCGCGGCCCGCCCAGCGCCTTGAGAAGAGCACGGCGTGCGACAGCTTGACCAGGAGACACCCTGCACGCCGGCCTGCGTTGTTCTAAATGCTACTCACTTGCCAGACAGTTGCGAACTAGTTGCCATATATGTCTTCACTAGTTGCCTATCGTTGCTTGTGAAGAACTAACAAAGACTGAGCATGCCCTTCTGGATGACATCGATTGGCAACTGCAGAAGACATCTATAGCAACTAAGTCGCAATTGCATGGCAACTAAATAACAAATGCAAAGGCACATGGGCCCAGCAGGCCCGGCGCGCTTCTGGAGCAGCGACGCCGTGGGGGCGCCGCGGCAAGGCGAACAGGGGAGGGCGCCAGCGCCCCGGGGCGGGCCCCGCCCGCGCAGCTCCCGGGCCCCAGCAAACCAGTTTCGGCACCCAGTGGGCGGGCGGCGGCGTCGCGCGGAGCGCCTGCACGCGTGGGGCTCGCAGTCCGTTTAGGGCGCGCCGCGTTCGTCAGGCGCGCCAAGTGCGCCGCGCGCGCCGCGCGCGGGCTCGCCAGCGGCGCGGAGCGCGCCGGGCGCGGCGGGGTCGACAAGGGGGCCATGTGAGATGCGCGCGGACACGGCGCAGCCGCCCGCGCGCCGCGGGGCGGCGGCCTGGGAGGCGCTCCCGCGAAGGATCACTGATTGTCACAAGCGCGCAGGAAAAAAAAAACGATCAGTGGGGCCGCGCGACCATCCCTCTGCGCAACTCAACGCAAGTTTTCCCGCGCCGCGTCGGCACCCCCAGACACCCGAACTTCAATGTTGATGTTGAAACACGCGACTTCAAACTTTCCGACGGCGCCCGCGCGCCGCGCCGCGCGCGCAACTGAACATTGAAATTTGGGGAGAGGGGGGTCGGCAAAACTTGCGCTAAGCAGTTTCGGCACCCAGCGGGCGGGCGGCGGCGTCGCGCGGAACGCCTGTGCGCGTGGAGCTCGTAGTCCATCTGGGGCGTGCCGCGTGCGTCAGGCGCGCCTAGTGCACCGGGCGTGCCGCGCGCGGGCTCGCCAGCGGCGCGGAGCGCGCCGGGCGCGGCGGGGTCGACAAGGGGGCCATGTGAGATGCGCGCGGACACGGCGCAGCCGCCCGCGCGCCGCGGGGCGGCGGCCTGGGAGGCGCTCCCGCGAAGGATCACTGATTGTCACAAGCGCGCCAGAGAAAGCTGATCGGCGGGGCCGCGCGACCATCCCTCCGCGAAACTCAACGCAAGTTTCCCCGCGCCGCGTCGGCGCCCCCAGACCCTCAAATTTCATTGTTGATGCTGAAACACGTGATTTAAAGTTTTCCGACGGCGCCCGCGCGCCGCGCCGCGCGCGCAACTGAACATTGATATTTGGGGAGAGGGGGTGTCGGCAAAATTTGCGTTAAGTTTCGCTGGAGGTTGTAGGTAAGCGCCCGCCTGTGTCAACAGTCGAGCAGCGAAGGTGACGAAATTCGGGAAAAAAGCGGGCGCTCATTTCAGCTCTTAAAATGGGCGCCCGTTTGTTGCCCGAGTTGGGGGAATCTCGTGGAGCCCAGATTGCCCTGCGAAGTTCCTTTCATGTCGGGTAACCGGCAGGTGCCCATGTCAGGGGGTGACGTGAGCACCCGCTTGTTATCCGAATTTCGCGGAGCCCAGGCTGTCCCCCTCAAATTTTTCAACATTTCGAATAGCAGGCGGGTCATTTCAGGGGTTGGCGTGCCCAGGCTGCGCCCTCGAATTTCCCCGCACTTCGGGAAACAAGCGGGTGCCAATTTCAGTGGGCGGCATGGGCACCCGCTTGTTGTTCGATTTTCGGGGGAACCCAGGCTACCACCCCGAGTTTCCCTGAACTTCGGGGGGCCCGCGCTGCGCCCCCCGGATTTCCCATCATTTCGGGTAACAAGCGGGTGCCCCCCGAATTTCCTTACATTTCGGGTCACAAGCCAGTGCCCCCTTCACCCCCTGAAATGAGCACCCGCTGGTGACCCGAAGTTCGGGGAGGGCCAGGCTGCCCCCCCCCCCCCCCCCGAAATTCGGAATTTCGGGCAACCAGGAGGAGGCCATTTCGGGGGTGATCTGAGGGCAGCAGGGGGGGGGGGGGGGGGGCGGAAAAGCAGCGGGGGCGCCCAAACAGGGGGGGGTCTCCCCAATTTTTTTCGCTCTGAGAATATTGGGTAACAAGCGGGCGCGCCCCCTGAAATGAGCACCCGCTTGTTATCCAATACAAGTCCGAGCGAAACAATTTAGAGACAAGCGGGTACCGCCACCGCTGGCCAGAACGCCCCCCCGAGAGAGGTCTGGGGAGGAAAGCGGGGGGGATAGGAGAAAGCTGGTGCGCTCGCGCCTTGTCTGACGTCCCGCCCCCCCATAACACCCATACATTCCTCAACGCTTGTTGTTTTTTGCCCACCAGCTGGGGTGTTACGGAGGACCTCGATTCCCCAAACTGCCCCATCGTGTGATGCACAATCGGACAGAGGGGCTTTGTGTATTATATGAGGAGGAGTAGGAGGAGGAGGAGGAGGAGGAGGAGGAGGAGGAGGATGAGGAGGAGCAGGAGGAGGAGGGGAAGGAGGAGGATGAGGCGGAG